AGATCATAGTATATCGACTAAGGTAACAACTAATAGGTTTTAAATATAGAGATTACCTCCGTGTCTCTGTATATTTCACTGATAGTACGGGCTTCCATATCACCAGATAGGGAAACTGAATAGGAGCTACATTCCTTAAAACTTGATTGCGAAATAATACTGCGCATTGGAGTCTGTTCATGGCTGATACTGTGAAATTAAAAATACACTAAGAATTAGGGACCAATTGAATAAGTAGTGTAAGAATAAGCATTGACTAACCTTTTTCTGAACTCCTCAAATGGTGGAGATTCCTGATTGAACAGCAGTTGTGTTACATCATAGGAGCTACAAATCTTAACATCCCCACCTTTAGAAATTATGGTAGTACACATTATACAAACCATTATTGGTAAATATGGACAAATACTAATATAAGTTAGGCAGAAACTAACATTTTTTATCTACTTACTTTTTAAACACACCCTAGCCCTACAAAATTGGATCAACACCAATAATGGCTCTTGTGAAGTAGAATTGTAGAATGCCTCGATCTTGCTTACATGTTCATCCCACAAAGTACACATCAATTGTATACCACTGCAAAATGTTAGATAAGAGATTAGAAGAACAGAAAATCTAAAAATAGAATAGAAATAGAATGAACAGAAAAAAAAATACTCAGTGTCTTCAATGGTGAAGTCAATCAGCCTGGAGTTCTTCCCATTAATCAATTTCTCCTGTGGGCAGTGAATCTCAATAACTCGACCAATAACATCTACAAAATAGTCCATTAGACTATAAAATAATAGTAACAATATCAATTATTTAGAAAATTAAATTGAAAGAGAGCAATTGATTACCAAAGAGGTGTTTCTCATCAAGGCCTTCATTAGACTTGATCTCTCTAAACGACTTCAGACGATACATTTTCATAGGAAATTTCGCATTCTTTAAATCCTTTACCATAGTCTGATAATTGAATTTTATCATGTACTTCTGTGGGCTGGTCTTGTATGAGTAAAAATTGGTGATCACACAAAAATTCTTTATAGATTAAACTGAACCTTCAGAAAAATAGCTTAGGTACTTTTCCACATATTCTTTGGGTACATGAGCATGCAGGAAGGAACCCTGTGTATGTGTAAATAACATAAATAGGAGCTTTCTAAATATATCTCATAAATAGGAACTGTAAAAAAAAAAAAAAAACCTGTGGACTAAACCCTAAATTGCACTACATACTGTTGATGTATTTGAATATATATTTGTAAATAGCACTTACCTCTTCATCATGAAAAACTATTTCTTTTGATCTAATCTTAGATGGATCACTTCTCTCAGGAATCTTATATGCTCTCGCCACCCGTAGCCTAAGAGCCTGCCTGGTGTTCATTGGAGATATTTGGCTAGCAAGGATAAACATCTTGTTGTAGGGAAGAAGAAGGAGAAAGGCCGGTGTAGATTTTTTCTGTGCAATAACTTTGTGCTGTATATGTGCTGTATATATAAGGTATGATAACCTTTCGTACTTTTTCCTTCGAAATTAATACCTAGAGAATATGTATGGGTTCGTGAGCTCAATGTTCCATATGGGGAACTGATGGAATTAAATACATTCTCTAATCCCATTGGATTGGAGAGTGATCTACCGTAGATATTTTAAAAAATGTAGGTTTTCTATAAACTTTAGGTATTACACTGCATAAACCCTTCGTTTTCCGACGATACAATAAATATTTCGGCTTTGTCAAAACGACGCCGTTGCTGTTGGGCGGGAGTTTTTTGCTCCTATTATTTTGCTTTAATATATATAGAGATAGAGATTTCTTCTCCCTTCAAAAAAATAGTTAATTTCTTCTAGATTTTCAATTCTGGTTAACTGTGGTATTTATAAACAAATACACGTAACTTGGATGTGAACTGAGGTAAATTTATACTTTTATTGTTTTTTTCCGAACTTAAAAGTGAAATTTAAAATTATCAAATTTAAGTGGAGGATTTGTTATGATGAAAATGTTGTCATGTTTGCTGTGAGATATAGTAAATTTTACTTTTACCTCCACTCAATGATATAATCTCCTCTCATATGGTTTCTCTTCCTCTTTTTTTTTTTTTTTTTTTTTTTTTTTTTTTGAAAACAAAGCAATACTCCATTAATGACTTAACAAACCGGAAATACAAGCGGGTGAGATAACTGCTCACGCTTCTGAGACAGACAAAGAACCGGTTGCCCGAGCTAGTTCATGAGCCATACAATTCGTTGTTCTCTTGATATGAAAAACTCTAACATTCCCTATGTCATTAGCAATTGACAAACACTGCTTCACAATTAAACCTACGTATGAATAATCAAAACTACAAGAATTGAAAGCATTACAGAAGTTTAGACAATCAGATTCAAGGATAATGTTACTATGGTGTTGCTCTTTTAGCCAAGTCAGCGCTTCCTTGGCCGCAAGTGCCTCAGCCACGAACGGATCACAATTACCTTCAAGACGTCCACTCCTCGCTGTTACAAAATGTTCGTCATGATCACGGATAACAGCGCCAAATCCAGCTCCATCCGCAAAGGTAGCAGCGTCGACGTTGCATTTGATGATGTTGCTAGGTGGTGGTTCCCAGCAGTTTGAATTGCATGCATTTCCTTCCGTCTGAGCTGCGACATAGTAGGCCTCTTTCCTGCTATCTTGCAACCTCACCATTTGCTCCCGGACCTCAGTCACGGATGGAGACTTGTGCCAAACAATGTTGTTCCTCGCTATCCAAATTACCCAGATCATGGCTGCTAAGTTAACAGCCTCATCCACAGTCGATCTGCCTAGCAGGGATTTCATAAAGCTTTGTATGCTCCTCCTCTGTAGGACATCTTCTTTCTCCCAAATCCTCCTCGCAAAAACACACTCGCAGAAGATATGTTCCGGCGTTTCCGTCACAAAGCCGCAAAAAGGGCAGCCACCTCCTATCCAAACCCTCTTCGACTTCAAGTTTTCTCGGACTGGTAGCACACCACGAGCGCACCTCCATAGAAGGTTCTTCACCTTGGGCGGCACTGGCAGTGCCCATAATGCCTTCCAAGTGTGGAATACTTCGTCGTCTGCATGTTGTACATCTTCATTTGTGATCAGCCGGTAACCATGCTTGACTGTATATCTCCCCCGTATATCGCCTATCCACCGCCAAGAATCCTTGAATTGAGCATTCACTGGATTTGCAAGGATTCTATTAACATTAGTAGCCTGGAAAATATCATGTATAACGTCTTCATCCCAATTCCTTGTTCATTGAGCAAACCACTCACCCTTGCATCTCTCAGATTCTCGACGCAAGGAGTGTGTAGCGGTTGAGAGGACGTTTTCGCGAGCCAATTCCAACCCCATATTCTGGCATCCAAACCATCTCCAATTCACCGAGCAATACCTAGTTTTAGTACCCTTTGCCCAGCCAGTATACTGCGCCAAATGAAACTGGGATTCCCCCCTAATTTCGCCTCTAAAAAGTCCGTGTTGGGGAAATATTTTGCTTTCAATAACTGGCTAACCAAAGACTCGGGATGAATTAGCAAGCGTCATCCTTATTTAGCTAATAGGGCTATATTGAATTCATGCAGCTTCTTGAATCCTAGTCCACCCCTCGACTTCGGCTTCCCCTATTCCCCGTGCCTCCGCCACCCCACCAAAACCGATTGAACAACTTCTCTAAAGTATCACATACACGCAACGGCAGCAAAAAAGTTGACATGGTAAAGATAGGGAGAGATTGAGCTATGCTTTTAAGGAGAATCTCTTTACCTGCCCCTGACAAGAATTTATGCTTCCACAACCCTATTCGTGCCCGAATTTTCTCCTCAATATAACGGAATGTTGCGGTTTTGTTCCTCCCCCATATTTGATGGAAGTCCCAAATACCAGCCTAGGTCTGCAGCTTCATGGACTCCTACGCTTTCAAAACCCAACGCCCGCACTTCAGCCGCAATATTGAAATTGAAAACAACACTTGATTTCTCAAAATTTATGAGCTGCCCCGATGCCACACTATACAAATCCAAGCACTCTTTAATCTTTAAAGCTTCCTGCTGATTGGCCCTGAAAAATAGTAAACTGTCGTCAGCAAAAAAATAGGTAGGCCAGAGCCCCACGCGCCACCCTCACACCGTGAATATCACCCCGTGCCTATGCCTGTTGCAGAAGGATGGATAAACCCTCGGCACAGATGATGAAAAGATAAAGGGACAAAGGGTCCCCTTGTCGAATCCCTTGGGTAGGACAAACAGTGCCCGCGGCCTCACCGTTCACCAAAATTGAGTAGTTGACGGATGAGACACACAGCATTAGCAATTCCACCCACCTCCGCTCAAACCCCAAAGTCCCCAACATCCTTTCCAAAAAAAACTCACTCCATCCTACCGTACGCCTTAGCCATATCTAGCTTTAGTGCCACCCATCCCATAGCCCCATCGGTTTTCCTCCTTAGGAAGTTACCAATCTCTCCAGCCACTATTATATTGTCCGTTAACAATCTATCAGGAACAAACGCACTCTGCGATTGCGACACTACTTGATCCAAACTCCCCTTCAACCTATTAGCCACCATTTTAGACACTTTGTATATCACATTACAAAGTGCTATCGGGCGCAAATCAGACACTTTCTCTGGAACTGTCTTGTTGGGAATTAAAACAATGTTTGAATCATTGAGTCCCGGAGGAAACCTCATATTTTCCACACAATTTAGAATAAACATGGACAAATCATGCCCTATCACCGACCAAAAATGTCAGAAAAAGGCCAGTGAGATGCCATCCGGTCCTAGCGCTTTTTCTGGGGCCATAGAGAATAGAGCAGTTTTTACCTCCATAATCGTGAACGGTTGTAACGGGGAGATATTCATCTCGTCTATTACACATTGACGTACACGATTAAAGATATCAGGACTACTAGGACAGGAGCAGAAAATATTCGAACTACCTGAGGATGTCCGCATGCATTGCCGCCCCTTCCTTCCATTCCCCATTCTGATTCTTAATACGAAGCAAAAAAGTTACGCCTACGCCGAGCTGTAGCGACTTTGTGGAAGTACTTCGTGTTAGCATCCCCGTGTTTTAGCCATAGTTGTTTAGAACGTTGTTTCCAGAATATTTCCTCTTGCGTTAATAACGCCTCTAGCTCACTTTCTGTCGCCAAGAATTCTCCAATCCCTTGAGATGTGCGATCTTCCTTTAGTCGAACCAGCTTGTTACGTAGTTCCTTAATTTGGTTCCCAAACCGCTGAAAGTGTTCCCCACCCCACCTCCAAAGACGATCACCACAAACAGCGATGCGTTCTTGGAAGTTTAACCTCACGGACAACCGCCATGCCTCATCAACCACCTTTGCACAACCTTCTTCCAGTAACCATGCGGATTCGAATTTAAAAGAACGTATGGCTGTCCGCACTAGTCTCGATTCAAGATCAACCGAGATGGCGCAGTGATCAGAAGACAGCGTAAATACGTTACTTACTAGTGCCTCTTCATGCAGTTTCATCCATTCCACCGTTGCCACCGCCCTATCCAATCATTCCTCCACCCACGAATCTGTCCCCCGGTCTCGCTCCCACGTGAACCTACTGCCCGTCATTCCCAGGTCATTGAGCTGACAGTCACTTAATGCATCATTAAAGCCCTCGATAAGTAACTCTGGATGAGAGTGTGTTCCCCTCTTCTCCGATAAACAGGTTATGTCGTTGAAGTCACCTACGACAATCCATGGAAGCGAAGATCTTTCCTTGAGTTGACGCAGAAGATCCCAAGTGACATATCGCCTCGCCCTGTCTGGATTGCCATAGAAACAAGTTAATCTCCACGCCGGCCTTCCTGGAAGAGTTACCTCCATATCTATATGATTATTGGAATAACTCATCAAAGAAGCCGCCTCTGCATCTCTCCAGAATAAAGCGAGCCCTCCGCCCATGCCCACGCGGGCCACACAAACATCTTCACTCGCACTTGTTCCACTTGATGATCGTTCGCTTTCGTCTCCATTAAGAAAACGAAGAAGGATCGCTGCTTGGACACAATGCCCAAGAGTTCGCGAACTGTCCAGGTGCCACCCAAACCCCGACAGTTCCAGTTGAGAAGAGTCATTTGTCTTGGCGAGCCTGGTCCTCCAGACTAGCCTTCTCCGGGTTTTTTTTAGCTCTCCGCCATCATCACACCCTCTCTTTATAAGCTATCAGACGTACCAATCTCCTCCCTTCGTTGTTTGTGGTCACCATGCAATCCTCCATTCTCTTCTATTGCCATCAACGCTGCCGGAGGGGGTCCGGCTTCAGGGACGGAGGTCACCAATGCCGGTTATGTTATAGGTAGCAACAACCATTTTGCCCCTACCAGCTTCACCTGTCGTCTAGCCTCATCCACGCTCCGAATGGAAAAGCTTCTGGCAGGATACCCTCCTCATAAGCGGTCTTGCAAAATTTGTCGGAGTGACCTAACACCTCACAGCAAAAGCAGAAGGTGCTCAACCTTTCATAACGGAAAGTGATCCATTGCGAGGTGACATCCTTTCGCATCAGCTTCATGCGCCTTTTGAGTGGAGTCGAAACACACATCATCACTCTGATCCTGTAAAAACTTCTTCAGGCTCCACCAAAATTGATCGGATCGGTAGCGACGAACGTCCCTACGTAATTTCCAATCTTAGAGATGAAATCAGGTGAATCGTACATCGTCGGTAGTCCATGGATCTAAATCTAGAACGGGATGAACTCCAATCTTACATCTTTCGGCCTCGTCCCTGGCGGTACCTGTTCACACACGAACATGTGATTCTCGAATGACCAAGGGCCATCGTCGAGAACCCGCTGTAGATCTTTCGGGTGGGAAACTGAAACAGGAACAGATCGTCAGCCTGCGACACCGCGTACATGCCCATCACCGATCGCCAGACCGACGCCATAACTTGTTGCATGTGATCAAATTTGATCTACCAATCGGTGAGAAAGCGCCCAACCAGGTTGTGATGGATCGCCGTATTTGGGATATTCTATGTATCGGGCGCCTCTAGTCCTCTGCTCTCCTCCTCCGCCAACGACAAGCCGACGCATTGCTTCTCAATCTGACGAACATCCATGAAGAATCGCGATAGCCAGATGTAAAATGCCAATAGGAGAACACAAACACAAAAGAACAATGTAGTCTTCATCGGAAAAACAAGAAATATAAACCCTAGAAATCTAGGGAGTTCACTCTCTCAGACACGATCAAGAGAGAGGGTCACATTCTTTAGTGTTAAATTGATGATTAAATATGAGAAGAAGTAGCTCATATATTTTCTCTAATCCTTCTCCATTTCTCTTTCCTTCTTGCGAGTCTTACTTTTCCATACTCCTACACATCATTTATTATTTTATTTAATTTTTTACAAATTAATAATTTTAACTTTATAATTATAATTTCAAATTTTAATTTTAAATAAAATAAATTTAGAATTGAACTTGACAATTAAGAAAAAGAATAAAAACTACAAATAAAAATTAAATAAATAAAATTGACCTCAATGGTTACGTCAAAATAAATAATGGCAAAACGACATTCCAAAGGTTGGTGTCTATCTATTTATTTTATAATCAAATAGTCCCCCACCATCTGTCCGGCTTTTGTGACACGCGAACAACACGCGCCACGTGATTGACGCTTGGACACCCGGATATTGTCTCCCCCCCCCCCCTCCCACCCTCCCCTTTTCCCCTCATTTTGGTGGCATTGCATATGTGTAATAAGAAGTTGAATTTGAATGAAATTTATATTTTTAAAAATTAGTGATATATTCAAACTCTCTATTTGAAATGGAGATCGAGTATTTTAAACATTGTTCACATGTCAAATCTAAATTGTGATTTTTTTGTGATGAGGGAAACCCGCAATCATTACCTGAATGTGTGCACTAGGTAAACTCCGCTCATGTATAATAATTCATAATTCACACAAAAAGTGTGAGCTTGACAGAGAAAGTGTTGACAATAATTGAACTTATGAACTTCTTATACGAGATTCATGTTTCATCCATTTCGGTGAGGATAAATTATTTCCACAGATACTATAGGGTGATAGGTATAAATTCGAGTTCTAATTTGTTGGTATGAAAATAATCATAATTTATTGGCTCATTGGATATGAACTAGCTAAGGTAAATTTGTATATATTTTTACTAATTAATTTTACATATAGCTAGCTGTAAGGCTGGAATTATCCCAGACAATTTGTTATTGGCAAGATGTTGTGACATTTGTCACATCATATATATATATATATATATATATATATATATATATATATATATATATATTGATGAAGATGATTTGTAACTGCAACAAATTTGCAAATCATGTACAAAAGTTGTCGCAGCAGTAGCAACATCTTTTGTACTCTTTTTTATTTTTTTTAACAAAAAATTTTGTTTCTTTTACTTTTTAATATTGAAATGTAATTAATATAAATTAATAATGTTATTTTAATATATTAGGGTCTACTCTTGAAAGTTGATTGTATTTGCATGTATTTGCAGGGATGTAATGTGAATAGTAAATGATTTACAAATTGGGTGATGTGAAGGTGTTAACATGAATTGACTACTTGACTGACAAGTCTTTTTTTTTTTTTTGGCCATAACTCATAAGTCCATAACCAGTCTCATGAGAGTTTTTGTGCCTTTCAAGTTAGTTTTAATAATCCTATATATAATAAAACTATATGGTCTTGTGAAAATTAAATGGTGTTAATCAACATTTAATTTTCACAAGACCATAATAATATTGTTAATTATAATAACAATAATAATATTAATAATTGCAATAATAATAATGATAATAATTTCCACTGACAGTTTCTAATATATATATATATATATATATATATATATATATATATATATATTTATTTATTTATTTATTTATTTATTTATTATATTTATTTATATTTTAATTTCTACTGGCAAATTATTGTGTGAACGTTGGTCCACATAATTGTATGGATCATGAATATCAAATATTAAAAATACATTATTTTTATATTGAAAGTACCTTACATACATATATAATGTACCCTTAGTATATTTAAAATATACTTTTTATTGCATGCAACCCCAAAGTTCATAAGTTTGAAATTAATATATGGCATAGCTAGGCGGCCTAATATTTAAGATTTGTTGATGTACATATTGAGGACTACAGAGACAAAGATGCGTTATTCGTGGATTCATCGGATACTATCCAACAACACTCTCCAACTTAATTGTGAAGTAGGCTTAGTAACATTAAGATTATATTCTCAAATTATTAGTTCTCAACTTTTATTGATTACACACTAAATTCGGTAGTATTTGGAAGCAAAAATCAATGTTCGAACTAAGATTATGATTTTGGTCTTTAAAAGTCAATTGTATGTTGCTACATCTAGAGTTAGAAATCTCAAAGGTCTAAAAATTTTGATCCGTGATGACTCTAAAATTGTAATTCAATTACTATTGTAGTTTACTAAGTTCTTAAAAATTTGTAATATTAAATACTATGTACTAAATTTTTAATATAGTTTAAGATTTGTAGTAATCACCCACCTTAAATATTATTTTAATTGTAAATATATTTATGTTCATAATTTTATCATAGGAATTTACACATAATAATTATTAAATAACAAAAATTTTATATATGAATAAACCTCATATAGGGTATATTTTTATAACATACAAATACTAGTAATAATAATGATAATAATAATAATAATCAATGTTGAAAAAATTGCAGGCGCCCTCTAGGTGCCTGGGGACCGCATAGGGCGCCTAGAGCGCCTAAGAGGCCGACCGCCTAGCGCCTAGGCGCTGATTGATTTTTACAACACTCATAATAATCAGGGACGGAGCCAGGATGGGAGGGTGCGGGGAGGGGGGGGGGGGCGACGACGATAGAAGTTTATTAAATCAATGATATCCATTTAACATATTTCAACATAATCAATATATTATAAATTTACTAAAATTTAGATCTAGATCACAATCCGCGAACTCTACAATATACCATAATCTGTCAACAAATCACGCATAATAACCAGGAAAAAAAAAAAAAAAAAAAAAAAAAAAAAAAGCTAAGAATCTGCAGTAAAAGAGGAAGAAGCGGCAAATGAAGAGGCGATTAGTTGGTAACCAAAAATGGATTGATTTCTTGCTCTTCCTCATCGAAAGGGTTGAGATTTGCTAGCTGATTTATGATGTAATTAAAACCTTCAAATTTGCCAAAAAAATCTCTAGAAAAACTAATTAATTCGAAAATAAATCAGTTTTGAAGGAACACTAGAGTAATTCATCAAAATTCAAAAAGAAAAGGGAAAAATTACTGTAGACTTGTAGCGTGAAAAAAAAAAAAAAAAAAAAAAAAAAAAGATGTGACTGTTGTCTACTTGTCTGGTATGAGATTGAAAGCCAACAAAAATACGTATAAAATTTACTCTAAAAGCTTGATTGGAGGGGACAAAACATTGAGTCACCGTGATTTACATCTTCCCAAATACTCCGTCGGCCTGGGTTGTGGGGGCCCTTAGGATTGCGGATTCAATCTTTTGGGAGAAGGGGACAAAACATTTTGATGAAGGGAGAAATTTCTACACTTTCCACTTTTCCACTTTTCTAAGTGGCATTATAATATTAAAAAAAATTGGGAGGGGGGGGCGAGGCCCCCTGCACTGTCCATGTGCCTCCGTCCATGATGATGATGATGATGTCTTAAAATTTGGCAAAATTATGCTGTGCATCCGTATGCACCATGCATGGTGCATACGGATGCAAAAACGACGTCGTTTTAATAAAACGCGCGTCTCCCCTTAAAAAAAAAAATCAGGTTCGATTCCCAGCAACAACATATGAACTAAAATTCCATAATCGATGAACTATAATTCCATAATCTAATCTGTGAACTAAAAATTTCAGAATGAATGAACTAAAATTCCATAATCTATAAACTAAAATTTCATAATCGATGAACTACAATTCCATAATCGATGAACTATAATTCCATAATCAATGAACTATAATTCCATAATCTATGAACTAAAATTCCAGAATGAATGAACAATATAATGTTGTTGCTGGGAATCGAACCTGAATTTTTTTTAAAGGGGAGACGCACATTTTTTAATAAAACGACGTCGTTTTGGCATCCGTATGCACCATGCATGGTGCATACGGATGCACAGCATAACTATCCCTAAAATTTGGTTTAGATTTATCATTAATAAAGATAAACACATTCCACATAGACTTATAAAAACAAAATAAACCCTCCAAATCAAAAATTGAGGTCGAACACATGAAAGGAAACAATATATTGTTTCATGACTCTATTATTAGGGTTGGGGTTTTAGCCTTTTAGAAAAATGACTCTATTATCATTTGTGATGAAAACAAACACCTACAAATTAATTTCTATTCTTCTTCTCCTAAAAGGTTGAATCCACAACCTTTAATAAGAGTCTGACAGAGCATGTGAAAAGAGGTAAATCATATGACTAATAGACAAGACCAAATGTCAAAAACAACGTCGTTTTGACTAAAAACGCCCGTCCCACTTTAAAAAAAAAAAAAAATCAGTTTCGATTCCCGACAACAGTATTATGTTGTGCATAATTTGAACTATATATCCAGAATGAATGAACTAAAAATTTAGAATGAATGAACTAAAAATCCAGAATGAATGAACAATATAATGCTGTTGAGAGAAATCGAAACTGAATTTTTCTTTTAAAGTGGGACGCACGTTTTTAGTCAAAACGACGTCGTTTTTACAACCATGTGCACCATGCGATTGCGCAGCATAACCATTGAAATGTCGGTGCTCACTTTTAGCATAATCCCCCCACTAACAGGGCGTTTGGTTGGAGGGATTTTAAATTCCCTTCCCACTTAATTCCCACCTAATTCCAAAGGCCATTAAATTCCGTAGTTTGGTTGGAGGGAATTGCAATTTCCCCATTTTCATAGAATTAAAATCCCATGTCCCCCCTGGGATTTTAATTTCTAGGGAAAAAAGATAGTGATGAGTCAAAATTACCCCTTCCTTTTTTAACTTAAAATTAATGTCTAACAACAATAATGGACATTTTTGACTTTATACTACTTATTCCCTTTCAATTCTCATGTATGCCAAACATTGAAATTGAAATTCCTAGTAATTCTATTCCTGTCAACCAAACACTGGAATTTAAATTCCCACTTTATTCCCAATAATTCAACTCCCATGAAATTGCAATTCATTTCCCACATAATTCCCCCTTCTAACCAACGCCCAGTAAGTTAATTAAGCGGGTGTTGGCAATTAATTTCTATTATCGTTAATTTCTGCTAGGTTTTTACTTCTAGCCAACTGTGGCAATTTTTTAACAAGATACACTTGACTTGTACAAAGGATTGACATATATATAAAATGATTTCCATAAAAAAAAACAATTTAAACACACATAAAAATTTATCGAAATATGACAAATATAATTGATATGAAATAGCTCACCCCATAAAAGAGACGTCAAGAAATAGTTTTAGAACAATAAAAAAAAAAAAAAAGTTATTTATATGGAGTATGCTAGAGATCCTACAGATGACAATCCCTATTAATTATTTCTTGATGTGTCATATTTTTATTTAGATGATAAGGGTAACTCGTAAATATTTTTATTTGGGTGATAAGTGAAATTTGTAATCACTTATAAAAGTAAACATTGATAAATCCTACTACTATACAATAGCTCTCAAACTACACTTAATTTCTCCTCAACAATGGTCTTATAGACCCAAAGAATTTAACAAAGTCAAATATGGGAGATTGGGAGGTGATAAATATATCAATTGTTATATCATGAACTAGAGTTCATATTATATTGTAAAAAATTCTGTACATTCAGTTAAATATTTTGTACTTATAGCTAACAGTTTCTGTGTGAATTCTAATACGAAATTATGTACCTTAAGTTAACACATTCTGTACCTACTTTATGTACATGTAAACAAATAACTCCATAATTGTTGACATATAATATGATAGCTATAAATACAGAAACTATCAACTACAGGTAGAATGTGTCAACTATAGATACTGGATCAAGGTCTACAATGCAAGGTAGACCATGGTCCATGGTATAATTTGACTAAATATACATATCCCAAATATTTTGATCATTATATTATCTACATTTTATTTCAAAAAATATATATTTATCTACATTTTGTTATGCATAGTATTATTTGCAGTGCATTCTACAATGTCCCCATCTGCAGCAGGGGAATGAAGATGAAGATCCCAATATGACAATCACTTCGCCAGCCATGAATTCTTGAATTGCCCAAAAGCACTTTCCCTAAAGCTCTTCACCTTCACCAAGCAAAAATGGGTGCAAGACAACACCATGCCCGCCGCCGCCGCCGCTCTGCAAGTCTTCAAGAGATAGCAAACCGGCGCCGCACAGTCTCTGCCCTGAATCACAATGCCCCAGCACCGATCGGCGCCGCCGTCTCCGCCGTCGCAAAGCTGCTCCACGAATATGAGTCCGTCAGGGCACTTCCTCTCCAGTTCCTCCCTCAGCGCCGCCCATTCGTCCGCCGCCGCTTTCTCCGCCTTGAAACGGGCCTTGCCGTCGCCGGCGTACACCTCCACCACCAACGGCGAGGCCCCCTCCAGGTTCCTGACGATCTCCTCCACTGACCCTTTCACCCACCGCTCCAGCTCCGCCGGATTCACGTCCCTCCTCGGCTGATCCGAACTCCGGTGACTCAGCTGGCGGCTGCACGGAGGAGACACCGCGAAAACACGGTGGCGCCTGCAACGGCGCTGGCTTTCCTCGCCGGAGACCGCGACCCCTGCGAGGAGAGGGTTGGATTGGGATTTGGAAGGAGTGAAGTCTGGGAAAGAATGGGTTTTTGCAGAGTGGAACTTTAAGGACGCCATTGTTGAGGAATATTTGAAGGTGATATGAGAATGGATCAAATGAAGCAATGAGAGATGGAGAAAGAAACAGAGGGAGTTTTATACTTCTATACAATAATAAAGTAATGATGTAACATTGCATTATTCCAATATTATTTACAAATTACACTAGATTTTTTAAAAATATTTTTATAATACATAATGATGTAATAAATGTTACATTTGTCCCGACCTAACAGAGTATCTATACTAGAAGAATGCAAATCCTCACTATTGCTAGTAAGACTCGATTTCAGGTCATTATTCCTGATCTTTATCCATGTGATCAATTGAGCTGCTCATACAAACAAGTTTTATAATGAATTACTTATGTTAAGCCACGTCTTAATGGTAAAAGACAATTTTTGTAATAAACTACTTGTGTTAAGCCGCGTCTTAATGGTAAAAGATTTTGTACTTTGTGGAACAATTTTAGTTAAAGTGATTGAATAGTTAGCTTGATAACTATAAAGTTCAAATTTGAAATTGTCAAATAGTTAGCTTGATAATTATAAAATTTTAACTTTCATATAGACTATTGATGAATTAAAATTTGTCATATTATTAGAAAAAAAAAAAAAAAAAAAAAAAAAAACAGCCCTTAAAAAAAAACAAAGGAAAATTTAATACGGAGTATTTAGTAAACCTTTTTCTAAGGAATAATAATAAATTTTAAATTATTATAACTTATAGAATAATTATCCAAAAAGAATTGGTGCTTTTATGGGGCAGGCGCAATCAGAAAACCGAAGGTTGATGCGATACGCAAGGCTGAGGTGGGCACGTGCCTGCGGCATCCATTTCGAGAATGGCACACGCTCTCCGTCGACATGGCGCATGCTTCCTTGATGATGTGGCACCCCAGGGTCCCATACGTTTTTTTTTTCTGAGTAATATTTTTATACTTTCTTAAATTTAGTTATACTTTCTCAAATATTTTGAGCCTAAAAATTTAAATCCCACCTTTATGACTATTCATTTGGAATGATAATCAGGATAACAATCTACATGGTAGACTAGTAGTTGGCACTCAAACCTAAGCATAATCTACTATCTATCTTTTTTTTGAAAGTTACTGGCTCTATTACATTGTAGTATCTGTTCATATACTTTCTCAACCTACTGAAACACAAAGAACCAATACTTTCTCAATCTACTATCTATCTACTATCTACAAATCTAAATAAGAGCCAATAATGTTAAGCCCTTAATTGGAACAAAAACTGTTGGTGTTATTGTTTTTTTAAAATGAATGATTCATATTATTTTAATTTTAATATTTTTTAATGATTTTCCTTATTTATCATCTATATATTATTTTCTTATCCTAAATAACCCTAAGTTCCGTTAGTATAAACTTTAGCAACGGAATATTTCGTTAACTATTTAGTATTTTTAACTTACTCATCAATTTTTATAGGAAATGTATGGAAATGTATTAGGTTCGAACCTCATTCCAATTAGAGTTGGCATAATTGTTAAACATATATTACAAATATGTTCATCAAAAAAGAATATTACAAATATATTAAAATGTATTAAAAATTTATAATAATATAAAATTTAACATAAACTTTGGTCAAATAATTAGTCCGACTAAATACATAGCATTCAAAGTTTAGCATCAAAAATTATAAATCAAGAACTTTAAAAATCATTTGATTTTCTTGCATTAAAAAAAAATTAGGTTATATATTTTTTCGTTTAATTAATCTTCTTTTGATTATTTAGAACAAAACTTAATATTTCAATTATGTTTTTGCATTATTGGATTGATTTAGGTCATTATGGTATTAATATTTTTTTGTATATATTTTTATAATGGTACAATTGTACATTACTTTACAAATATTGTACTATTATTTTTTATCTAACAAACTTGTTCTTACATCTTTGTTAGACCTGTGCGATCTAACTACATAGTTGTTGATCATAAATACAATTACACATTGACTCTAAAACGTTGGGACCATTTTTCAAAGAATTGACAATGTTGACATCGCACTGGCTCCAATTGAACAAGTTTACACATCAGAATTTTATCAATGCATGAAAATTTCTAAAGAAATTTGTAAGTTAATTTTTACTATATCATTATAACAATATCTATTGTAACCATATATTTTGAATTATTTATTATCATCCTCTATTGACAGTAATTGTAGCAATTGTCATTGAAAAACTCTCAAAATAATTTGTCTCAACAACGAATGGAAATTAAAAAAAAAATCAATGATTTCATTAATGTTGATAAAAAATATGTACGCCACTTTATTACTCTTATTAAATTAATATAAATTAGTAGCTACCACAAAAAATAATACAAATGCATTTAATTAATTTAGAATTAGATGTCTATAATGCCTTTATTTAAAAAAAATTATTCATTATAAAAAATTAAAAAGAGATATAATTTCATTAGTTATATTATCTTTATTTTCTACAATTCAAAGATTCATTACCTTCAAATTTATTAATTTTTTATATTCATCACTACATTGTTCATTGTCTTATGTTTACATTATCTTGTAATTAAATATCAAAGTTATAATACAAAATATTTTTTATATATTTATTTATCAAATATTTTATACAAATATAAAAAATATTAATATTTGTTCAGTACTTTTAATTTACATGATAACATACGACACACATCTCACAACACATGAAATATGTAGGGGAAAAATTACTACTACCAAATATCAATAGCTGCTTGTAAGATAAAAAGTTCATAGTATAACTAAGATCCCAATCATATATACAGCAAGACAAATCTAAAACTTCTTACACCATAATCTCATTGCACGATAGATCCATCTATGCTACCACCAGTAACCCAATTACACAGGACACACAACCAATAAAAAAAAAAAAAAAAAAAAAGACATGTACTGAAGATGAAGATAATGACAATGCTACCCAAAAGAGAATTAAGAAGAATTAGAGAAATTTAAACAAAAAGTAGTATTTATTTAGATTATTGCTTTTATACTAAATATTTAGACTAACGTTATTACAAAGTTCCAAACATTTATTTTAGTGGCAATTATAATCAATCTCTCATATATTATCTTGCATTTATATACTTTAAATTACCGATTTAAACAAACAAATTTAACATTTATTTACCTATGCATAAACATCTCCTATATAATATTACATTGATATACTTTAAAATACTTATTTAAAAATAATCATTGGGCATTATCCCATTCACGCAAAGCGCGTAAAAAAAACTAATATCTACTATCTACTATACTAATAAGAGCCCAAGAGAGTTAGGCCTATAATGGGTAGAAAAAATGGCGGTCACAGATTTTAATCAAATGAATGGTTCAGATTGATTAAAAGACTGATCAGATTTAAATTTTACACTAAAATTTCCTAAAATACCCACACACCGTTACTAATTCCGTTAAAATTTTAAGAATTGCCGTTAGTTCACCGTTAACTTACTCATTGATTTCAATTAAAAAAGGTCTTAGGTTCGAACCTCATCCCAATTAAAATTGGCATAATTAGTACTCTATTTTACTCTTATTAAATTATATATAAATAATAATTTAGTAGTTACAACAAAAAATAATACATATAAATTTCTTTAATTTAGAATTATGTGTCCACAATGTCTTTATTAAAAAAAAAATTATTCATTATCAATAAATTAAATAAGATAAATAATTTTATTAGTTATATTGTCTTTATTTTTCTTCAATATAAAAATTCTTTATATTCAAATTTATTAATTGATTATATTCGCTACATTGTCCTTACAATGTCTTTATTCAGTGAAAAAAAATTATTAATTATCAATAAATTAATTAAAAGAAATATTTTCATTAGTTATATTGTCTTTATTTTTCTCAAATGTAAAAATTTTTACATTCAAGTTCATCAATTGATTATATTCACTACATTATCTATTATCTTTTTTGTGCATTATTTTTTTAATTAAATATCAAAGTTATAACATAAAATAATGCTATATATTTATTTACCAAGTATTTTATTAATACCATGAAAAATTAAAAAAATATAATTAATAAAGCCAACCATATTAACTACTTGAGAGATTTTGTGACAAAGAGAGTATTCAAATCACACAACAAATTGAAGTGAGAACTACCTCGCAATGTCCTTGCTTGACAATCAGCAGTTAGCGGTTAGCGTTAGCGGATTATACTAGTGGATTTGACCAGCGAATTTATTTAATTATTAACATTGGGTAGAAAAAATGACCGCCAAATTATTAAATCAAATGAATGGTTCATTCAGATTTTAATTTTTTTCTTTTAAGATTTTCTAATTTATCCTTAATTATATAATTATACATTTAACTTTTCCGTTAATTCACCGTTAGTCTAATTCTAATATTAAAGTCTAATATAGAATTATAACTACACCATTAATCTAATTCTATTATTAAAGTCTTAATAGAACTTAACCACAAATCCTAATGTCGGAATCTCCTCAAACAATATTAGTATATATTTAATATTTTATGCCCTAATTTTTATTTGTTCTCCCTTATGTCCCGTATTTGGTTTCGACCATATCTATACAATTATTTTAGGGAAAATGGCAATTTTCCCCCTGAGTTACATACTTATAGCACTTTTTCCCCCTTAATTATTTAGGTAAGCACATTAGCCCCCTCAATTATTCTAAAAGTGGTGGTTTTTCCCCCTGATATATTAAATTGACATTTCTACCCTTAAAGTAAACATTTTATTTATTTTACTTCTCCAACAAATTATTGCGTATACGTAGGGATGACCACGGTTCGGTTCGAACTGAACCGGACACTAAAGCAATCGAATTAAAATTTTCGGTTATGATTCAGATCTATAACCCAACATTTGGATTTCAATTTATTAAAATTATGAATCAAACAAATTGGATCCTGAACGGCTGAACCGTGAACCGGGGGTTCCAGATCCGGTTCGCGATTTTGAACCGTCTTTATTTTAAATTTTTGT